GTGTGGGTGAGTGTGGGTGAATGTGGGTGTAGGTGAGTGTGGGTGAGTGTGGATGAGTGTGGGTGAATGTGGGTGTGGGTGAGTGTGGGTGTGGGTGAGTGTGAGTGAGTGTGGGTGTGGGTGAGCGTGTGGATATTCTTTCCTTCTACATTCATCGTCACTCACACTCACATCCATACCCACACCCACACCCCGCGTTTCCACTCTTTCTGACTGTCTGGATAACTGGTACAATTTGTCTAGCCCGTCCCATTTACGTGTTGCCATCTATGCACTCTTTTCAAAATGAATATAACTGAATCTATCAGTAATCCTGGTTTTTTTTATTTATTTCCAAAGGTAAGACAGTTTCATCCATGAAGAAAATTTCAACGAGAAAGTACGATTCTTGTTTATAGAAAATGGAAAAAAGAAAAGTTTTGTATTTGAAAGATAAACAGCAAGAGTAAAAAATTCTTGGACATGATCAAACAATTGTCTGTCTAGGAAGGAAAAAACTGGATCATTTTATGATCGAGGTAATCCATTCTTCTGGATCATTGCCGTCGACTTCCGTTCGTATTCAGCTCGGTTTTGGATGAATTCTTTAGCGGCATCTATAGCAAAGTAAATGCAAAAGAAGAAAGAATCAACTGTTCAGAACAAACCCGTATTCGCTGGACTATCCTCAGCTTTAGGATTATCAAGAGCGTCGACAATAATCTCAAGAACTTCGATTAAAGTCGCTTTATTGTCCCACAATGAAGTAGCATTCAGGCGTTGATCACAGAGTCGATCTACATAACAAAAAAAAATAAGAATAAAATCTATGATATTATCAGCAAGTTTCATTTGTTTGCTGTCTCTCAACACAGAAATATTGATAAATTCTACTAAGAATGTCAGAATTCCCGTTCCTTAGGGTTCCGTTGCTATGGAACACGAACACATTTGACAAATCCTTTTGCGCGTTTTCTAACATGCTAGAATGTTTAGTTATACTTTTTCTTCTATTTTCTTATTTGTCAATGTGGTTTCGCGTTCGTCCATTCTCTATACAGAAATTCTAGATTCAGTCAGTTGCATACCTTCAGCAACAGTTATCAATATTGCGGAATACAAATCGACGCCTAGGTCGACCAATCAGAGATAGAACTGTCACGATTCCAATTCCTTAGAGTTCCGTTTCTAAGGAGCAGATATGTATTTGACAAATCGTTTTTGGACGTCTTCGAACACGCTACAGTGTTCCGATGTACCTTTTCTTCTATTTGTGACAAATCACTGTAGGTTCCTGAGTCCATAAGAACGAATACCCGTATCAGGTTCCGCATTCCCAGGAACGGAACTCGAAACTGATACCCTTAAATTTCACTCACTTTTTTCGTTAACATTTGGATGATAGATCGGTGTCGTTATGATCACTTCAGGTGGTTGCATTGGATACGCTGATGGTAGATGAATTTCAATGCGGAGAGCATGATTTTTATAGATATCCGATGCTAGCCATAATCGTCCAACAATGGCATTTTGGGCGTAATTCTCGGACAAGTCGTCTTGTGAATGGTCGAATGAAGAATTTTCGTAAAAAAACTTGCCCTGTTTTAGATTATTGTCCGTATTAAATAATTTGATCTTAGTCAATTCTCCCCAAAGTTTCTTGTTTAATGGACTTGAAGCCGCCATAGAAGGAATGACAATGATTCAATCTGAAAAATACACCAACACAACTGATGTCTCTGCATATTCGTCAGATTTCAATAGAGACGCCTGTGATGATAGACTGTATTTTTGCAAATTTCTGCATGCATCTACACGGTTTGGTTCTATGAAAAGAATGAAAAGAAACAACTCATTGATGTTATTGTAGATACGCCTGGTAACTTCCAACAATATTCACGTCCTATTTTCAAATGGTCTCTATTCAATTTATGGTTTCTCTTTTCTTTTCTTCTTGTCATTTACGTCTTCGAGTTTCTGAAAAGACAATACTTGTTCGAAATACCTAAAATTTGATGGTCTCGTTCATGGAGTTCACTTTTAAAAATGCCTTATTTTTTTGTCATTCTGAAATAGAACATTTTTTATCGGAAAATTCTCTTGTTACTTCTCGTTTAGTTGGTACACAAATAATTGAGCCTCTCGACATTTGAGTCCACACTCTCACCATTTTCCACATGTCGGGGCTCAATGGTCGCAGGCCCAACGATCGTGTCACCGTTTTCATTGGTAAACTTGAGTAAATCAAATAGAAGAGAACAGCGGCGTAGCCAAGGGAGGGGCAAATGGGCAATCGCCCACTGAAATTTTACTTTTTCAGAATTGTTTATTTATTTTTGAATTAGAGAGTGACTCTATTTTTTTTCTTCCGTCTGAATCACGCACGCACTTTTTTCTTATTCTTTCTGTAAACAATGAAGAAAAGAAGGGAAAAAGAATCGCTTCTAGTATTTTAACCAGAGCGGCCAGATGAAAAACTTAGAAAATCAGAAGTTCTTGTTTCGAAAATCAGAAAAAAATCAGAATTTTTTTCTGAAATCGGAAACTAATCAGAAAGAGTAGCTTTTTGCAAACCAAAGGCTATCATATTAACATACTTGCATAAAATGGTCCACTTTGTTTATCGACTCATACTTTATTTCCAAAACTATTTCATAGTAAAGAAAGACAATACAAACGTTATATAGCTTAGAGTAAAAGATCGTGTACTGTAAGCTAAGAAGATTGATCATAG